AAGGCTTGGAGACTGCCTCAAGGCTGGGGCTCCGGGGGGCCAGGGGCTGTGCTGAGTCCCTCTTGCTGGGGTGGGGGGTGTTTTCTCTTTTTACCGTATTTAATGATATTAATTATGCTCAGTATTTCAGTTCACTAATCTCAACAGCTCAGACTAATGTTTAACCAATATGTTGTACATTAAGTAAATTGTATTTCCAACTGTTTATATTTGGCTTTTCCCAAATATGGCTTGTCAAGCTTGTAGTCTTTTGCTCTTTCAACATTATTTTTATTCCCTATTTTTCTCATTGTGCTGACTGAAACATTTAAAAAAACAAGTCCTATAACTGTGTGTAACATAAGTTTTAATTTTCTTATGGGAGGTATTACATATCAGACATCTGCAGTCAGTTTAGCTCGTTTTTTAAATTTCCTTTATGTTAAGCTGGGAAACACAGATGGATTTCGCAACTGTGATCACCCGTATCTAAGAGGAGCACTTACTTCTCAGTCGATTATTTTTCTGAATGGTTTCTTTGGTTTGCTTCTCTAGCTGGAAAATTCTATTTTACTTTCACTTTCAACTCCATACAGTATTTAAAGAGTCTTGTAACTTTCGGAAAATTTTATCTTTCTACATTTAAAATGTGCAGAATCTATAGTATTTTTTCAACAAGCACAAATGTCAACAGTGTACACATGAAATATATTTTACACAATTTTTTTAACAGACAAGAAATCTCACTATTTAGAACACATCCTTTCCTCAAGATACTGTAAAGTAATAATAATTTGTAGGGTGTAACTTTAATACTAGAAAACTGATTGTACATTTTGCAGAAATTTCTGAAATAAATGTACTCTGCTTCGGAGAACAGTACCTACATATCACCAAAATTACTGTTTTCCCATACCACTGAGAAAACATTGGCAGATTTACCTGAATTCAAATTTTTGGCTTCAATCACCATGCTTTCTCAGCACTTCCCTGAATCCATGAAAAAAATCTGAGTCTTCCATTTGAACCACAGATTAATTTTTAAAATTTCAATGGAGTTTTCATGTGGTCAGACAGTACTTGCTGGTTACATTTTAGACAATAATTTCGACTGTAATTTACGATGTTCAGAAAATATGACCTGCTGGGTTTCTGCAGTAATAAATTCAATGACATTTTAGGCCTAAAACTTTACCACTTAAAATATTATATCTGAGGCCGGGCGAAACTCCATCTCAAAAAAAAAAAAAGAATACAACTTTTTCATAATTTTTAGTAATTAGTAATTTAGTAATTCTATAGAAATGTATACTCAGTGATTTTTATGAGAACACTAGACATCTTCCCTAAATATAAGAAACTTGCTGGGCGCAGTGGCTCAAGCCTGTAATCCCAGCACTTTGGGAGGCCGAGGTGGGTGGATCACGAGGTCAGGAGATCGAGAACATCCTGGTCAACATGGTGAAACCCCGTCTCTACTAAAACTACAAAAAATTAGCTGGGCATGGTGGCACGTGCCTGTAGTCCCAGCTACTCAGGAAGCTGAGGCAGGAGAACTGCCTGAACCCAGGAGGCAGAGGTTGCGGTGAGCCGAGATCGCGCCACTGCACTCCAGCCTGGGTAACAAGAGCGAAACTCCGTCTCAAAAAAAAAAAAAAAAAAAAAAAAAAAAAAAAAAAAAATTATATCTGATATTTGAAAATAATGGGCATCCTTTGTTTACTGGCAAAAATAGCTGCCATTTATTCCTATGCCTAATTAGCATAATTTTCCAACAAAGTTATTATTTATGTTCATTTAATTGTTGGACACCAAAAAGGTAATTTCCATAATGAGCTTAATGTTACCTAATATGAATGAAAATGTGACAGAGGCTAGGAGATGGTGTGAATGAAGAGAGGGGAAATGTTCTTCAAAGTGTGCCAAGTTTGAATTAGAAGAAATAAGATTTAATGATCAATTGCATAGAATGGAGACTACAATAAATAATGTGTATTTCAAAGTTGCCATAAAGACTATTTTCAATGTTTTCACCACAAAAATTATATGCGAGGTGATAACACTAACTTGATTTAATCATTTTACAACATATATATCAAAATATTACATTTTAGACAGATATATACAGCTATTATTTTCAATTAAAAATATAATTTTTTAAAATTCAAATTTTCTTTTTCAATGAATCTTTGATTCTTCACTTCTCTTAGGTATTAAGCATACAAATGTTTAATGGCTTAGAATAGTACCTAACACATTGCATGTGCCAAATACTATTTCGTTCAAATTATCTTTTTTCACAGCATTCTTCAAATACAAGATTATTCTGTTTATCTTGTTAAAATTAATTTTTCCATCTTATCCAAATATTGATAAAAATAGGAGGTAGGGCATTTGCCCACTTCATACATTCCAAAATCAAAGGGCAGTTTTACTAATTATTTTTATATTCAGTAACTCATTTGTCTCACACAGTAAACACAAATATTATGTAACAGAACTATATTAATATTCTTCATCCTAAAAATAGAGAAAATTTTGAGTTGATTCAAGTACAGGACTAGAATAATTTTTCAAGTGTCTAGAATAATTTTTCATGACAAACTATGAAAAAATATTAATAGGGATGGATTACAAAAGTGAAGAAACAGTCTATGAATTGTTTCATTATTTATGTAAAATAAACACATTTATATCCCTATAACAAAAAAAATCAAACATTTTTAGAATAGCTGTTATAAACTGCTTAAGTTGTAAATTTAATGAACTTTTTTATTTTTTATTGAGACGCAGTCTCGCTCTGTTGCCTAGGCTGGAGTACAGTGCCATGGTCTTAGCTCACTGCAACCTCCGCATCCCGGGTTCAAGCAATTCTTCTGCCTCAGCCTCCCGAGTAGCTGGGATTACAGGCATGTGCCACCATACCCAGCTAATTTTTTGTATTTTAGTAGACACAGGGTTTCACCATGTGGGCCAGACTGGACTTGAACTCCTGACCTCATGATCCACCTGCCTTGATGTCCCAAAGTGCTGGGATTACAGGCATAAGCCACCGGGCCCAGCCAATTTCATAAACATTTAATGAAAAATATCAATTTTCTCACAAAAACTTCAAGCAGTATTAGAGGTAACATTTCTTAATTCATCTGTTAGCCAGTATTACCTTAATACCAAAATGAGGCAAAATAATCACGAGATGACTAAGAAACATCCTAAATCTAGACACAGAAATTCTCAGAAATATTAAAAAAATACAATATAAAAATGATTACATACCATGACTAAATATTTTCACAATGCAAAATTGATTCAATATTACACAATATTAGTTGAACTAAAAATGTGGTAATTTAAATAGAAGTCTGACAAATTCAACACCTATGAATGATAGAACAGCAAGAAAACTATTAGAAGAAAACTTTTGAGGTCTGCTTAAAGGCATCTATGAAAAACCAAAATCAGCCAGGTACAGTGGCTTACACCTGTAACCCAGAACTTGGGAGGCCAAGGTGGAAAGACTGCATAAAGCCAGGGGTTCAAGACCATTCTGGACAACATAGGGAGACCCCATCTTCACAAAAAATTTAGAAAAAAAATTATCTGGGCATGGTGGTGCATGCTTGTCCCAGCTACTCAGTTGGCTGAGGTGGATCACTTGAGCTTAAGAGGTTGAGGCTGCAGTGAGCCAAGAAGAAAAACCCCACACCAAAAGCTAATAGACTTAATGGTAAATGACTGGCAGCTTTATCTCTAAGTTTGAAAGAAAACAGGACGAGAATTTCTACTTTGACCACTATTCACCATTGTACTGGAAGGATCAGCCAGAAAGTTATACTAGAAAAATCAATAAAATGCAACAGATTAGAAAAGATTAGTCTTTTATTGCCATAATCTTGTATTTTTTTTTTTTTTTGAGATGGAGTTTCACTCTTGTTGCCCATGCTGGAGTGCAATGGCGTGATCTCAGCTCACTGCAGCCTCTGCCTCCTGAGTTCAAGTGATTCTCCTACTTCAGGCTGAGTAGCTGGGATCACAGGCATGTGCCACCACACCTGGTTAATTTTGTGTGTGTGTATTTTTAGTAGAGATGAGGTTTCACTATATTGGCCAGGCTGATCTTGGAACTTCTGACCTTGTGATGTGCCCACTTCGGCTCCCAAAGTGTTGGGATTACAGACATGAGACTCTGCACCTGGTCCCTTTTTTTTTCTTTTTTGAGACAGTCTTGCTCTGTCACCCAGGCTGGAGTGCAATGGCATGATCTCAGCTCACTGCAACCTCCACCTCCCAAGTTCAAGTGATTCTCCTACCTCAGCCCCCCAAGTAGCTGGGATTACAGGCACATGCCACGATGTCCAGCTAATTTTTTGGATTTTCACCAGAGATGGGGTTTCATCAGGTTGGTCAGGCTACTCTCGAACTCCTGACTTCACGATCCGCCCACCTTGGCCTCCCAAAGTGCTGGAATTACAGGAACGAAATGTTGTATTTTAAAGGTGTAAGAAATTCATTAAAAACCTATTGAGGCCAGGTGTGGTGGCTCACACCTGTAATCTCAGCACTGAGGGAGGCCAAGGAGGGCGGATCACGAGGTCAGGAGTTCAAGACCAGTCTGGCCAACACAGTGAAACCCTATGTCTACTAAAGATACAAAAAATTAGCTGAGTGTGGTGGTATCTGCCTGTAATCCCAGCTACTTGGGAGGCTGAGGCAGGAGAATCGTGTGAACCGAGAAGGCAGACATTACAGTGAGCTAAGATTGCACTATTGCACTCCAGCCCGGGTGGAAGTGTTGAGACTCCATCTCAACAAACAAAACAAAAAACAAAACAAAACAAAACAAACAAAACAAAACAAACCAAACCAAACCAAACCAAAACAAACCAAACCAAACCAAACCAAACCAAAACAAACCAAAACAAAAAAAAACAAAACAAAAAAACAAAACAAAACAAAACAAAACAAACAAACAACCTACTTGAGCTAATAAAGAAGTTCATCGATGCCACAAGATCAACATACAAGGTTGGAAAATACTTTTATATTATAGCAATAAACAAAAGAATTACATTAAAATTTCACTAACAGTATCATAGAAAACAATTATAAATTTAACAAAATAAATGCACATACTATACACTGAAAATTTTTAAATGCTGAAAAAAATCAAAGAGCTGAATAAACTGAGATAATATCCAATACTCAAAGATAACAGTACTAAATATGAAGATCAAAATACCCAACAAATTTATCTACAGATTCAATGCAAATTCCAACGTAGCTTTTAATATAAATTGACAAGCTCTTTCTAAAATCTATATAAACATGCTAAGTAAATCAAACTCACAAGAATTCTGAAAAATAATAACAAAATTCAGTAGCTTACACTCTTGATAAAAACGCTTACTACGATGTTACAGGAATTAATAACAATATGGTACTGGCATAAGGGCAGATTTGTGTAGACCAAAAAAACAGAATTAAAGGTCCATTAATGAACTAATAAATTAACTTGTGGTAAAATTATTTTTTTCTGTGAAAGGTGTTTTGACAGTCATTATAATGCTTTAGTTCAACATGAACTCTGATCCTGAGTAAGACATGAGCAGGTATTAAAGGCTTTGCCACATTTTTTGTTTGTAGGATTTTTCTCAGGTATGAATTTTCTCATGTACATTAAGGTGTAAGCAGTGGTTAAAGGTTTTGTCACATTCTTCAGATTTGTAGCATTTCTCTTTTGTATGAATTCTCTTATGGTTTGAAAGGCTTGAACAAGATATAAAGACTTTATCACATTCTTCACATTTATAGGGCTTCTCTCCAGTATGAATTCTTTTATGTTCAATGAGGTGTGAACACCGGTTAAAAGCTTTGCCACATTCTTCACATTTGTAGGGTTTCTCTCCAGTATGAATCCGCTTATGTTTAGTGAGGTTTGAACACTGGTTAAAGGCTTTGCCACATTCATCACATTTGTAGGGTTTCTCTCCAGTATGAATTCTCTTATGTAGAGTTAGGTATGAGAACCAGTTAAAAGCTTTGCCACATTCTTCACATTTATGGGGTTTGTCTCCAGTGTGAATTTTCTTATGTTTGGCATGGTTTGAACTGTGGTTAAAAGCTTTACCACATTCTTCACATTTATAGAGTTTCTGTCCAGTATGAATTACAATGTGATTAGAAAGGCTTGAGAAGGATTTAAACACTTTGCCACATTCTTTACATTTGTAATGTTTCTCTTCATTATGAGCTATCTTATGTTTAATAAAGCACGAGCAGTGCTTAAAGGCTTTCCCACATTCTTTACACTTGTAGAATTTCTCTGCAGTGCGGATTCTCTGAAGTGGAGTTAGAATTGAGGATATATAAAAGGAATTGTCACATTCTTTATAGTTGGAAGATATCTCTCCAGTATGTCTTATCTTATGTCTATTTAGATTTGACAATTTACTAAAGACTTTCACATGTTTACTACATTGAAAGATTTTGGTATAAGTAGTTGATAGAGACTGGTTAAGTCCACTATAACATTCTTTCTGCACCTTAGATTCACCCACACTTTCCCAATCTTTCTGTAAGTGTAAATTCTCAAAGCCACAGCTTCCATATCTTCTCAGTATCACTTTTTGAAATGAATCTTTTATGCCTTGCTCTGGCAAGAGGTCTTGGGTGAAATGAGAAGAAATAGCTGAAAAAAATAAACATAAATTATCCAACTTACTAGACTTAGGTGAATATAATTTAAAAAGCTAATCTAGGCCGGGCGCGGTGGCTAACGCCTATAATCCCAGCACTTTGGGAGGCCGAGGCGGGTGGATCACGAGGTCAAGAGGTCGAGACCATCCTGGTCAACAAGTTGAAACCTCGTCTCTACTAAAAATACAAAAATTAGCTGTGCATGATGATGCGTGCCTGTAGTCCCAGCTACTCGGGAGGCTGAGGCAGGAGAATTGCCTGAACCCAGGAGGCGGAGGTTGCGGTGAGCCGAGATCGTGCCACTGCACTCCAGCCTGGGTAACAAGAGCGAAACTCCGTCTCAAAAAAAAAATAAAAATAAAAAGCTAATCTATACAATCACACCAAACACATTAGCAAGATAGCATTATAAAGATAGCCCTAATTTTTTCATGAATATAGTATAACAAAACTATACTGAACAGAATGCCTTTGTGAGAACTCTAGAAACCACGTTAAAAGCTATAGAGAAGGGTAAGGAACACTTGTTATGTTTACCCACCACAATTCTTTCTTCCCCTCAACACACCACAATGACTTCAGGAATAAACTCCCAAGTCCTAGCTTCTCCTTCAAGACAGAAAGTAGTGGCACATATGTCCATACTTTTGATGGAATTTTCAAAGACTAGTTTCTGTCTCCCATGACACAGAGTGCTGAAAGGAACAGTGGTAGAACAGAACTAACCTTAGAATGACAGGTTGGTTCTGCTGAGACCAAAGGTAAATAATTGTTAACAGCAGCAAAGAGGCTGCAGTACCACAGACAGACAACAGATTTAGCAGATAACTGATTACAGAAGATGAAACATGGGTAAACCTCTTTAACTGGAAATTAAGCATAAAATTCTGAAGAACATACATCCTGCGAACAGGCTTGAGAGGCTCATGGAAACCCTAGCTCCAGTCAATTGGTGTCAGACTACCCAGGACAAGGCCATTTTATACAGATTGCGAAAGGTGACTTTTAGTGCCCAAATCTCAACCAAAGATCGCAACATATACATTAGGGTAACATGGCTCAATCAAAAAAATAAGTAAATAAATAAACAAATATCCAGAAATCAGCCTTAAAGAAACGAAGATGTACTGTTACCTGAAAAATCTGAGATAACCATCTGAATAATGCCCAATGAGTAAAATGGGAACACAGACACGAAATTAAGAAAATGACATTACACACATGAAGATTAAAAGTATAAAAAGAAATTGAGCCGGGCGCGGTGGCTCAAGCCTGTAATCCCAGCACTTTGGGAGGCCGAGGCGGGTGGATCACGAGGTCAAGAGATCGAGACCATCCTGGTCAACATGGTGAAACCCCGTCTCTACTAAAATTACAAAAAATACCTGGGCATGGTGGTGCATGCCTGTAATCCCAGCTACTCAGGAGGCTG